CCCTATTATCAGCACGTTCCGACATCCACTGTCATACAGTCTCTGCATTTATAATATTTTTATATAGTTTCTAAATATATAAAAAAATTTATAAAACATTAGTAAAGGTGGGATAGACAAATTCACATCGAAATCTTATCGCACTGTGCATTTTGGGATGGACGAAATAGCAATGCATGATTAAATATGTGTATCACGTAATCAAGTGATATTTAAAACCAGCAAGATAATGTCACGTGTTAAAATGATGTGACAAGTCTAAGTCAAAATAATGACTAATCAAAGGTCGTTATGACAAGTAGGTTAGGAAAAAACGAAAAATATATCTTACATTTGAAATATTAGCAAAACGATCTTATACAGAAAATATAAGGACCAATTTTTTTGTGAGAAGATGAAATAGAATATTAACCTTGATAATTTCTTCAAGCCTTTGGTGCAAGAAACTATGATAGCCACTTAGGCCAAGATCAAGCCTTCTTAGGAATCCATTATTCAAACTTAAAGCAATGTCATTACTTCCTGCCATAATTAGAACAAGAGCATCCTTAATTATGTCCAAAGCCTCTTTTTCTCCTACAACCCCTTTTAGAATTTCAATATATTTCTTGAAGTTCTCCACTTGTGTGAAAATTGGAGTACCCTGAGTTTTAACGTTTGTTAAATCATCAAATCCTGCACCTGAAAGGAAATCCAAATCTAAATTTAATAAGTTTAACCTTTAAAACTCTAAGAACTAAACGGTAACACCCCAGGCTTTCGACAGAGTTCCACTCGGCAAAACACAAGAGGGACGTTAGGTATACAAGTTAACAAGCCTTAGACCCTAGTGGCGTATTTTAAACCTGTGAGGGCCTAGGCCTAGAGCGGACAATATTACTAGCGGGCTAGGCTATTACAGATGGTATTAGAGTCACTCTTGTGTCAATCTTGCCGATTGTGGGTTAGGGTTCAACTCAGTTTAGGCAAATCCTGATTAAGCGGGGCAAACTTCAATGCTGAATCCCACATCGGCAAAACACAAAAGGGATATTGGGTATATAAGTTAACAAGTCTTAGATCCTAATGATGCGTTTTAAACCCGCAAGAATCTAGGTCCAGAGATACAATATCACTAGCGGGCTGGGCTATTACATAATACGTTTGAAATTATGAATTCAAAATATAATATTTTGCATATTAAAAATATTGAGTTCAGTTGACCTCCTAATATACAAGTTCAGTGCAACCTCTACCTGCGGAAGCAAAACTAACACCCGTTCTGAGCTCACTGACTGGTAAATTGGGATCAAGGAAAGGAGGAACAGTATCCTTGATTTGTAGGGAAAAGGCTAAGAAATCTGAAATGAGTTTTCCATTGGAAAATCTCCCAGTTGGGACTTGATTAGGAAAAGATTGTCCATAGGGTGGGTGATTGGCTTGAAATAGAGTAAGTATAAAGTTGTTATTGCCAGAATCTAGTAATGAATCACCAAAGGCAAGAATAGCAGGAAATTTTGGTATGTGGCCAGTGCAAGTGCTTGAGAAAATACATAATAGTTGTAGAATTACAACAAGGGGGGAGAAAATAAGGGAATTTGCCATTGAAAAGTCAATTCTTTTTTGGACTAAGGAAACTCTGATCAGCATTTATGCTGATATCTTTAAATGAAATTAAGGAAACCATAACTTCCATTTCTTGGTAACTACTTTGATTCAATAGATTAATTAATGCAGTAATTGATCAATTGAGATAAGTTATGATCGTGGGATTTAATTTCATTTTCCATTAATTACATATATGAGCTTTAATTTAACTTGTTCTTTGATCACATGAATTTTTAGTTCTTGAGTCTGAATGTATTATAAGTAAACCTTGCTATCAATTTAATTTAGGGAAAATGCATAAGTACCCATTAATTAACGCCAAAATTCCAACTACACACCTTATCTTTCCAGAGGTTTTATCACCCCCTGAACTATTTAATAGTAGAATTATTAACCCCCAAAATGCTGAAATGGCATAGAGAGTGAGAAGCAAAAAAGTGAAAAAAATTATGTTCGCAATTTTCTGTTATAATTATAAAAAAATCACTCTTTTCGTTTTTCTTTTCTTTTCCGAACGCCGATGACCTTCTCCGGCGAACTATTTTTCCTTTCTTTTATTTTTCCTCTAATCTTCTTCCTCTCACTCTGACCACCACCTCGACATCGTCACCACCACCTTCATCTTCCCCCACCTCCTTTTTATTCTCACCCACTTAATCTTTGCATCGGCACCACAATTATTACCCAAACACAGATCTTATCTTTCCAGCTTCCCACCGGAATATAAAAGTCACCGGAAAAATAAATCAAAATCGAAACTCACAATCGATAAACAAACTCCCTCGCCGGTAAAAATGGAGTTCCTAAATTCCAATATGAAACAAGCAACAAATCCACATATACAGACTCTAATCAAACAAGGACTGAATCAAAGAATGGACCTATAGGAACGATTGAAAAATTTGAATGTGAAGAAAGAATGAAAAAGATAAATAAAAAGAAAAAAGTCTAATAGGATAAGAAAGAAAAGAAAGGAAAAAAAATTCAACAATTGCAAAATAGACACGTGGCAGTGCGTGTATTTCACTACCTGTCAAGAATTTGGTTATTTATTTTCAGGGTGATATTTATTCTGTTTTAAAAATGTTCAGTGGAGTAATAGGGCCCCGCAAAAATAAGGTGTGTAATTGAAACTTCGACCGTAGTTCAAGGGGGAACTTATGCATTTTAATTTAGGCAGAATAGCCTGGTAGACACTTGTACTTGTTCGTCTTTGTCATCTCGGTCCCTATACTTGATAAAGTTTCGTCCAAACACTTATAGTTGTTCAAAGTCGATATTTTAAACCCCTCTGACCATTGACCAAGTCTACATGGCAACTTAATTGCTAAAGTGGACAAAATACGTGTATTTCACGCGTATAAGGAGCGTGGACATAAAATTTAATGATTAAAATAAGGAAAAAAAATAAAAAGAATAGAAAAATACAAAAAAAAATTAGAAAAAGAAAGAATGAAGGTGCCTGAGCTCTTTAATGGCGTCTCTACTTCTCTTAGTTCTGCGGCCCACCAACCCCCCTCCCTTCTCCACGTTACTCCTCTTCCCCCATTTTAACCCAACACCCCCAATAACACAGCCCTTCCCTTCACATCTGCATCCACCACAGATCCAAAACCTCCATTAGATTAGCAGCAATTTTTGGGGAATTTTTTTCTCACGTCCTCATTCCCTTACTTTGGAAGATAGCCTTTGCAAAGAAAAGAAATAGAAATAGTGGAAGAAGATTGCCTGTGAAACCTATTTTCGATTTGTTTTCATGTAGCAAAATTTCAGATTGTTTTGGGTGATGTTGGTCTTTTGGGTAGTCATTTTTATGGCAGGTTCTTTTTCTGGTGGTTGATTGGTGGTACAACAGTGGAGTGTTGGTTGTGAAGAAGCTTTGTAGATGAAGGGTGGTCTGTTTTTGATGACTCTTTAGGTTGACGAATGGATCTGTTTTGATTATTGTTGTTGTGTTTCGCTATTTGGATCTTTAATCGAATTTGGGGAGGAGACTCAAAGATTTTTTTGTTGAGAATTTTCGAAATTCCATTGTTGGTCTTGCGAGAAGAACGAGTCTATTGATTTGAAACCTCAAGTTGTTGCTTACATAGTACTAAAACTTAGTTGGGTATTGAAATTTAGACTTGGAAATGCGATAAACATTTGTGTTTGAGGATCAAAACTGGAGGGACAAGCAGAGACGCCATTAAAGCTCGCTTGAAGCTTCGGGGTATATTCAGGTTTAGAAGAAAGAACCCCCTGTATCTCTTTTCTATAGGTTCGGTATTTGTGTTGGGTGGCCAGTCCTATTTTTCAATAGTTTATTTTCCTATGTGGCACTAGTAATGGTGTGGCGTCCTACGCGTAGGAGATTGTATTACACACACTGGTAGCTTATGTCATAAGCGTTTATTATACACGATTTGAACGAGTGTAAGTGTTCAATTGGCAAATTGATAAGTTTGGGGACCGGCATGACAAAGTGGCACAAGTACAAGTGTCATTTAGGCTATTCTGCCTTTAATTTATGTTACAAATATCCCTGCAGCTTGATGTCCAGAAATATGAAGCAAATTTTTTCTCTATATACAATGAACATGGAACTTGCATAATCATGACATTTTTTAAATGAAGAAATAATATGCAATATCTAACCTACTATTGATACTACTCGTGTGCACGAGTTGAAGATCATTGTATAACCAAGATTATATAATAAATAATATGCTTGTACTCGTGTGTATGAGATGTAGATCAGTATAATAACAAATACTGATCTTTGACCAAAATAATTAACTGGAAACAAGATCGAAAAATATCCTTCTCTCTGACCCTCCAAATCAATGGCGATTCCTTCACGCTACCAAATAATACAAGTTTACCTAACTGGCAATACCAAAAAAATTTATGGGCTCCAAAATTAAAATGAGTTGTCGCGTGGTAAATTTTATGAGACAACTAATTTGGACGCTCTCATTTAATCTATGGCTAATTTTTTCTAAAAATTAGTAGATTAAATGAACATATAAAAATCATTACGAATGATTTTGGACCGCCTAAAAATATAGGGGTAGATCTCTAGTAGAATAGGTACAGGTTGACATGAACCTAGTAACTTTTGTTTGGATTTTGTTTTTGTATTAAAAAGTCCACTAAAAATATTTAGCTTGAACCTGGTTCATTAGTCTAATTATTAGTATATATTAAGTTGATATCGTGTGGGAATACAATAAAATCCTAGATTCCCAAAAGAAGGGCAAATTAAATTAGAAGGACTATATTGCAATTTAAGCTAACTCAAATTTCAAATGATCATATTATTATCTGTCCACGATTGTTTCTAACTTCCTATATAACTAGACCATCGTCTCCATCCAATATTATCATATCACACTTAAAACTTCACACACAAACAAAAGAATTAAATAGAAAGGCAAACAAGAGTCAACACAAAGTAGTCTTCTTCTTTTTCCTGAGCTTAGTATATAAGAGATGGGGAACAGTCTAAGGTGCTGTTTGGCTTGTCTTCTTCCTTTTGGAGCTCTAGACTTAATCCGTATCGTACATTTAAATGGTCAAGTAGAAGAAATTACACATCCAATCACAGCTTCTGAGGTTCTGAAGAATTATCCAAATCACATTTTAAGTAAACCTTGTTCTCAGGGTATAGTTCGTCGGATTTTGATCTTGTCGCCGGAATCAGAACTCAAGAGGGGCAGCATTTATTTTTTGGTCACTGCCAATTCTTTGCCGGAGAAGAAGAAAACCAATAAAAATGTCTCCAAAATTAAAAGCAAAGAATGTCATGTTAGCATACCTGAGATTGATCGGTATTTAACTGATGTTACATTAAAAAAGAAGTTTTCCCGTCGAGAACGGCGGAAGGGTGCAGTTGAGGAATGGAGGCCTCATCTTGAGAGTATTTCCGAGGACTAAAATGTCTTCTTCATCTTTTCTTTTCTTTTTTTCTTTTCAGTTTTTCCATTAAAACTTTTGATCGACTAATTAGATTTGCGAAGAGTAAGAATGAAACCAATTATTTGCACTATATAACTTTTTTTTAAGACTCTCTTTTATGTTCGTCAGGTCCGTGGACTAAAATGAGGTGTTTGGATTGGCTTTTAAGCAGGTCAAATCAGCTTTTAATCATTTTTTTTTAGTTTTCTTCACCGTTTGATAAAGTTAAAAAAACCTAAAAATAAGTTTAAATCTACTTAAAACAAGCCAAAATCAATAAACTGACCAACCCAACTTATTACTTTTTAGTTTAAAAATTATTTATGCTAAAAAATTACTTTTTTAAGTCAATCCAAATGGGCTTAACGAGGGAAAATCTGAACTATCATTAGAAAAGGTCATTTGTGCAAATATCCAACTGAAGGATAACTACAAATAACTGATCATATTAGCTCATAGGATAGTGGGGGTCAATGGTCTATTATCTATCTATATATATTATTAAAAGGAAGAAAGTCTAGCCTAGAATTATGACAAGTGGCAACATAGGAAAAAGACATGTGGTAGTTTTAAGATAAAATTAGTTAGAATAGTTATAATAAGTTATTTAGTTATTTTTAAATTCAAATTCAAAATCAGTTATTTTCCCCCTTTTTGATTGCTTATTTATTATTATTTTATTATCTTTTTTGTTAATTATTGGCTTTTAAATGTTTACCAACGGAAAGAAATAACTTTTGTCAACTGTTGTGTTCCAAGAATGATGGTTTCCTACGGTTTTTTTCTATTTTGTGGCAGTTTTTTTTTATTTTGTGTTCTTCCTTTTAATATGTGGAATTTGGGAAGACCAAATTCATGCTCTGCCAATTATTTCATCATATTCATTCTCTGACAATTATTTCATATTTGTAACTACGATATTACATATGAAGGAGTTTAGCTTGATACGTGGACGACGCAACATGGAACAATTAGGAATACTTATATAATTAATGGTAATTTTGTATTTTCTTGCTTATTTTTTTTCATACTGATGATATCTCTGGGCTATGACTTACTTGAATATAGCTTATGAAAAATTGCATTTACAACCATCTTTAGAGAATCAATTATCTACGAAAACATACCCTGACTTCTCCCATGTATCTTTGATTTCTTGTGGTTTTAGTTCTTTATGTTCTTTATTTAGTTCATTTGAAATATCAGTACATACTATGGTTGTTTTTTCATTTTTTTCCTATCAAGTTGGTCTAAACTAATGATTACTAAATGTATAATTATTCAACGACTGGAAAACTCAAATTAGCTTTGGAAGTTTATGTACAAATAGTACATCATTATAGTATCACTTAATTTGTTGATGACTGTCAGCATAGCCATTTTCCCATTTTATATTTAGAATATGCTAACAAATAACTAGAAGAAATAAGCTCTTTAATTTTACTCTTCATCAATTTAATTTTAAATTCTTTTTGTATTCGAATTTTCGTAAAAAGATGGCACATCAATTATTAATGGCTATTTTCCGGACGAGACACTAGAAAGGAACTATGCTCTTTATTCTATCCTTTGTTGTACCAAAAAATTTCTCCAGCCCGTTGAAACTCTATTTGTTGTTGAATAGATTGTAATGATGTTGGCACAAATAAAATGCGTGAGCAAAATTTCTTTTCTATATTAATGATTTCTATTAACCTATTTGATTTTTCAATTTTAGGAATCCCAAGATAATTTAATATAAAAATGTGAGTATAAAAATGTGTTAAGAGGATAAAATGAAAAATAATATATCAAATATTTTATAAGATCGTGGGCAATATTATTGGAAAGTTAGAAGGAAAATTTTATTTTGTATATGATTTTATTATAATATTTTATAATATCCATACAATTTATGGAATAATAGTAAATCAAATTTCTGTTTGTAAGTTACAAAAAGTTCAAGCAATCAAGTAAAGAATAAAAGTATAGCGGTTGAAATCTCCGTTGATTTATATTATTTGTAGCGGTTGAAATAATATTTATTTTATAAATTTTAATAATGAAGCAATTTTGAGTAATAAAATAAGAGTATCAAAGTAATTTAGATTTAAGAAGTAAAAATATTTACTTATATTATATTTAAAAAGGAGAGATAGGCACGGACATACGTGAAAAACTAATAAACAATAAAGTACTTAAACATGCAATCACAACAAAAAATATGGAACAAGAATAAGCATATTTGAATTTGGTAGAGATGACACCAAGTAGCCACTTTGAAAGGCTGCTATTTAGAAATTAGCCAGTGCATTCTATTTCAGTTTTTCAGTTTAATTTTTCAAGACAAAAATGTCCTGAGTTGTCCTGAAATTACGTTTTTTAGTTTAAAATTTCATGACAAAATAAGTACTGGCTAATCCTTAAATAGCATCCCTGAGAAGGGTTATCTGTGCACTTGCCCCTCGAATTTGATATGAGAAAGTCTTTGAATTTCAGAAAAACATATTGTACAGATAAGACCGTCTAACTGATGTTTTAATAGATATTGGATAAAAATAACTATAATTTAAATTCATATGTAGATTATGTCAATAGTTAAAACTAAAATTTAATATATCATATTGAAAACAAAATAAAAGTAGTTCAAAATTATTATTTTTGAATTATAGGTAAAACACTAAATAAAAAATTAAGTAAAAATATTATATTAAAAAAATGCATACAAGAGGATGATAGGGATTGTTTGAGTATATTTATGATTTTGATTGATTTGTAAAATAAATATAGTAACTAATTAAATAGTGCTAAAAATTATGGTTAACAAATTTAGACAATGAACTAAGCATTTATATTGTTTTGTCTTTTATAAGTATAATTTTTATAAAATGTCAGTGTGCCAAATAGGCTAGCATTCTCTCATATACGCTTTACAAAATTATTTTATAACAAGCAAAATTTTGAAATTGACCGTGCATCGCGCGGGTACCTATACTAGTATTTTTAAGAAGAATTAAGCAAGTCCCTCCAATGCTCTTAACTCTCAAGTCAAATAAAGATCATAGCCAATTTAGTATACACCAATATTGTAAATAAGACTTGGTGTGATAGAAAACATGCTATGTGAGGCTATTTGTTGAAAACTTAAAACAACCAAAAAAAACTTGCATTCTAACTAATTACACAGACTGAACTTTGTGCTTCCTAATTTCTACAAACAATTCTGTCCAGATTTATAATACAGAGAAGACCATTCTTTTCTATCCTTCCTTCAAGCTATTTTCTACATTCTTGGTATTGACCATTCTTGATAAGGCTTCGTACAATAGATCCTTGTGGTTCGGCCCTTTCCCGGACCCCCCGCATAGCGAGAGCTTAGTGCACCGGGCTGGCCTTTTTTTGGTATTGATCAAAGAGGCAAAACTACTTCAGCTGCTACCCAAAAGAGCCAAAACCAGAACGATGACTATATTTCCCTGAACTAGAATAATAACTGCTAGATACAGGCTTCAGGGAGTGGCTGTTCATAAACTCAGTCCCTGGTGGTATTTGTTGCACAACTAGCAACGAAAAACTATAATCCGAAGTCGCTAACATGTCTCCAATAAATCCTAGTTCTGGACACTCAATCCATTCATTAATCCCTAGTGTTAACTCAGATTGTTCATGGTCTCGACCAACTATACAAAGATCACAATTGTGCTCGAGTGAACGAAGAACCTGAGTCGTCCCCACTGCATCTTTCACCACTTCTTCTTTGTAACTCACCCTTTCTGCACCAATGTTATTAGCCTTGAACCAACGTATCGTATCTGACTCCACACTGTTATCGATATTGCCACTAGAATGTCTGAGCCAGACGAGAGTTAGGCTGATGTGCGGATGCTCTAGCATCCTGCTGCAGTAGGCAAGCGCCTCATCATCATCAGGACCGCCAAGGTAGAGCATTGTAACACGAAAGAAAGAATGGCCGAATAAGATTTGTTGGTTATCAGCTAATTGACCTCGATCAACTAGGATCCCAACCGAGCAAGGTGCTTTATAGAGTACCTGTTGGTTCACCATTCGAATAGCAGGAAAATTGGCTCCTACTGTTCCATCAATCGCCCACTGCTTGTGGAACGGGACGATCACAATATTGACACCTTTTTCCATCCCGATTGTACATATGTCATCGTGCATAGTGGCATAAGGAACAATGGATGTGAAGTGTTGAACAGCCACAGAACCTTGATTTCTGTGCGCGAAAATGTTGAACGCGTTTGATATATGTTCTGTTCTGCTTGGCAGAGACGTCAGTTTAGCCTTGCCTCTTCTATTATGCGTTGGCACCAGCAATGCAGCCGCGCTACCTTTGAGTTCCATTAGATTAAGAACAAACACTGAAATAGGTCTCCTTCTACTTGGATTGGAGGCTTCTAGAAGATTAACAATACTTGGAACATTATCTTCATTGTGAATACATACCTGTATCCGAAGCTCACTCGTAGGATCCAAATGTTGTATACTATTTGTTCTGTAGCCTAAATACCTTCTTGATGGATCATAGAGGTACCAAATTAAGGGTCTCAAAGCTCCCGTAATCACCAACATTGTGATTAACAAAAGCGCATACGCTTCATTTGTTATTATCTGTAGATAACCAAATAAGAGACATGTAAATAACTCGTTTACTACTAGTAGTTGAGTTTAACTTCTATAGAAAGTAATTGAATTTTCAGGTAACCGAGCTATAACAGGTTAAAATACATTGATAACAGAAACGCGCAGAAAAGAAAGGAGTTAGGTTACGTACTCCATTATCCCTGAGGCCGATATAGAGGGATGCCTCGATAATTCCTTTGCAACACATGATGAGAGCAAGAGAAAGTGCATCTCTAAAAGGAACACCAAAATGAACTGCTGGAACAAGAGTGCCAGCAAATTTTCCAAAATAACCTAAGACGATCACTGCTTCAACGCCTAAAAGACTCTTTCCTTTTCCTATTGCGAAAATGTCCATTGCTAAACCACTAATAGCAAACTTAGCAGGAAGCAACAATCCAGTACATAAAGAATCAATTTTGTAAACCAAAGATGACCCTAGAGGAGGTCCCTCGGGTACCACCATGCCCAAAATAAAAGTACCAAGAGCAGCAGGTTGTCCAAGAGACTCCGCGACAAATCCACAGATCAAAACTATCATAGCTACGACTAGAAACTGGCTTTCCTTCATAGACCCTTTTTCAGGTATAGTCCTAGCAATGTGTTGCACAAATGGCCTTACTGCAAACACAACTACTATCAAGAAAGTACCTATCCATGCTATGCACAATGCTCCATTCCACTTTGAATAACTTGCTGATGAATTTATGGTAGTCCCAATTACGAAAATGACATATATACAAATGTCAGTAACCATAGAAGCCAATGTAGCTATTCGACCAATTTCTGAGTTTAGAATCTTAAGGTCGCCAAGAAGGCTGGTGATCACAGGAAAGAAAGACGCTGAGTTAAGTACGGCTACATAAGGCAGCAAATGAGCTGTTGCTTCATCTACTACAGCCAAATGAGGTAATGTATAACTAGCTAGACATCCAAGTACAAAAGGCAACGCGAAACTGGACGCACCAATTAGCATCGCATTTCTCCCCGCTCTTTTCACCATTGTTGGATCTACATGAATTCCAAGAACAAAAAGATGAAACATGAAAGCAAGATCTGCAACTGTTTGTAGTACCATTCTTCCTCTTGGTGGAAACATTAAGGCCGCAAACGCTCTGTTACGACATAAGCCTGATTGCCCCATGAAAACACCAGCCTGTTTTAGACCAACAATAATGATAGCATGAACAATGTAACACAAGTAATCAGAGGCAGTAACAACGGGTTAAATGAACCCAATATTTTCGACACTAAACATAGATATATACAAGAAAAATTACTAAATTTGTCAACCAGTATTAAAGTTTGAATCCGTAATTACAGAAGTACAAAGATTTATGCTAAGAACTTTAAAGATTGAATCCGTCAAGTTTAAATCATAAATCCATTTCTATAAGTAATGGACAGAGGCAGACCCAGGATTTGAAGGTCGCAGATGCACTTTTGAATTCAACCAAAATCTGTTTTGTATTTAGGGTACCCCTTACTAATATATGACTATTTTCTAAAGACATATGCATGCATAAATGGAATTTTTACCGAACTTTACGGGTGTCAGTGACCCCTCTTTGTACAGCATAAGTCCGCCTGTGGTAACAGAATTATCAGGTACTCAGAGGCGGATGTGTGTGTGTGCAAAAAAGAAATTACTAAAATTTTAAGACATCAAAACTTTCAAAAGGGTATAAAAACTTATAGATTGAACCTATCAAATTTAAATCCTGAATTTAACTCCGAGAATAAAGATAGTATCAATTTTGTAACACAAGTAATAGAATTGTTAGGTGTTGATCATAATTATGTAGAGAATAAAGGAGCTTACAATAAGTTGTGCACTGACCATACTTTGTTTAAGAGGTCTGATGAGGAAAAAAGTAATTCTGGTGACGAAGAAAATGAAAATCAATTGTGCCAACACCAGTGGTAAACTGAAAGCGAAAGGGTCACCTCCAGACCATAAACATCCTTTGGAATTGACCATATCTGAAAATTGACATATAAATAATTCTTGACGATATCGACCTTGGACTACTCCTATTGAATCTGAAACTCTTCGTTTTACCATTTTTGTTACAAAAACTACTGATTAAAGAAGCAAATGAAGAAAGAGGATGGTTTGGTGAAGAATTTACTCTAATAATTGAAATGGAAAGCATGGAAATTTATTTTGTTGAAACAATTAGTGTTAGTGTTCGTTCAGATTGTTAGACATTAACATAAGTTTGATATGCTAGATAGAAATGTGGATAATTCACCATATATCCATCATATTAGGCAAGTTTTTAGGATTAATTATTTCCCTCTCAAAACACCCTCATTTTCAATGGTTCTGCTTTTCTCCATATATCTCTTCCTTTTATAGTTCTTTTGTCTTTTTTTTTTTCTTTTTTTTTTTAACTTTTATTATCTCCCTGGAGCAACACCAAATGTTTTATGCTAGAGCATAGAGTGATTGAAAGAAACTTTTCCTATCATTTTCAGAGATGCATACAAGCTAACCAAAGCAAAACCATTATCACAAAAATCGAACCTCTTATCCCTCTTTAATTGTTTCAAACAACTTTCCATAAAAAAAAATTAATACACGGTAAAATAAGCCTAGGTATTCAATGTAGGAAAAATGGAGAGTCTAACTATACGCTTTTACCTTAAACTAAACCATTTATTGACATTGTTAGAGGATAGTCCAAATTTTTAATACTAACATAAGATGATACGATCTTGTTAGGTTTTTGCCTACGGATGAGTGGAACAATAAATTACCGTGGAGACCATCCTCAAGTTAATTCTTCCAAAAACATTTTCCGATAACTTCTAAAATTAATCAAACGGTCCTTACAAATCTTTTCGCAAGATTTGAAAGACTCTTCCACCGACAGATACTTCGTAAATTTAATCAAGAAGTTGCAAGACCTAATTTAGGAACACCGTTGTGAAGCTTCCGCTGCACAAGTCAAAAGAAACTAACGATTTACTGCAATCTAAAGTTACGCACATTGCATACTTCAATCGTAATAGCTAAAATGTTTATAGTTAGGGTTATCATTGAAGAGAGAGAGAGGAGCGGAACTAGTTTAGGAGTCTAACTTTTTAGATTCATTCATAAGGGTGTATGATCAAAAAAAATACTCTCAGGTGATGCAGAAAGAAAAGTAACATTTTACAAATTGAATCCACACCAATTGCATAGCTCTTGACAAAAACGGAAGAAATTAGGCAGCATCGCAAGGAAAGATCTATCTTCTCACAGTCACAGGTATCTACAAATTCCCTTCCTTTTTTTTTTTTTGCATTTATAGCCCAGACAGAAACACAAGAAAGATTCTTTATCGCAAACTTGCGAGACGACTGCTGTCGAAAACAACAACAAAGCCTATTTTCCGTCGGTCCAGACTGGAAATTTTTTATTGTTTTCTTTAAGCACCAAAATGGCTTCTTCTTGCATCATTTATTCTCTTTTTGGCAGCTTACAGTATGATGATTATTTAGTGCGAGCTAATGCAGCTGTAGAGAATGTAGGGCTAACCTCCTTCACAATCTAGATACAAATCTTAAATTCCGATACATTTAATTTCCTCGACGGAAAAAAAAGGTCAAATGTAACCTTGGCCGACAGAAATAAATTACGACCTCCGTCGTACCACCATTTTGTCAAAAGGACGAACAGCGAGAAACACTCTGGGAGCTTCTCGTATGGAGTATGGACAGTCACTTGCTGCTTAAAGAATGAAACAACCGCTACGGCTTTCCATCAGACTAGGTCAATAAAATTGTCAAAATCTTCGGTGCGGCTAACTTCAGTTTTCAGATGAGCGTTCTCCCACCTGATCTCCCATCCAATACAACAGCTCTAATATCCATTCCCGATAGGAACGTGATTATTACTAATTTGGGAATCGAATCTCAGTTGAAATATAAGAAGAGCAGAACTATTAGTTCATATGGAGGAAAAAAAATATTCTCGGAAAGCTGCCTACTTGAGAAGTCTACTAAACATTCTTCCACAGAAAGAAAGAAAGAAAAAAAAAATCTGGACTAGCAGGCACACAAAAGCAAAAATAACAGCTCAAGTAGTTATGTGCCATATAATAGAGTCAGCGAATCATTATATCAGGCTTCACGCCAAGATGCAGCAATCACCTATAGAGAAGAAAACATCATTCAGCTAGAATTACCAGAGCATTTTGGTTTTCACAGTAGTATCACTCACCTGAATATTTTCACCTACCTTAGCAGCAATTTGCAGAATATCCAGTAGCCTCTATCAAAACATTCAACATATCAAAAAAAGGGACTTCAAAACCCCATCCATTCCTACACCCCAAGAAGCAGAAAGAAAGGAGAAAAAGCATATATTGCTCGAAGTGCAAATGAGTGATCAACCTACCTCTTAGTCACAGAGTATATCTTGAAATGGAACTAATAAAAAACCCTCCCACCACAAATTTTTAGTACATAAGATGCTTGGCTGAAACTCAATAAGGACGTGAACGGTTTCCACCATGAGACTGTCTATCCGGGCCAGAACCTCCACTGTCTCTGTAGTTATCCCTGCGGCCGCCGCCACCATAACCTCCTCGACCTCCACGTCTAACAATGGATAGAAAAAGGCTCAGCATAAGAGATACATCAACTCTCCCATTAGCGCACAGACTCAAAAAGTTCAGAATATAGAATACATCCCCAACCATCTCTATACAATTAACATAATTTCACTACATATTATTTTCTTTTTAGAAAGAAAAATGGAACTATATATTTTCCATTTGTAGTGTATAAGAAAATAACATGCTTGAGGGAGGTAAAAATGCAGAGGGCATCAGCATGCGGTTTCAATTAGAAAAGGTGGATGAAAATGATTATAACACTAATACTGTAAGCAAAACGAAATAATTTGATACATAGAAGTTTACGGTTTTACTTCAATACGCACATAGTTGATCGAGATAAAGCATAAAACTTTGGTAGCAGTGAAGTTAGAAGATTAAGATAAAACTGGTTCACATGCACCCCCAAAAGGGACAAGTTGTAGTACGAATTAATGCAACGAGTTTTGATTGATCAGTAGTCATACTTTGGAACGAAAGCATGTTATCAAGTGAGAATTTCAGCCATGCAGCTACAGAATGAAATTTGACACAGCAATGATAGTTAAATAGATGCAAGAACCACAAGTCAACGACTCTGCTCATCTAATTAAGTAAAGAACCAAATACAGAGAATTGTGTCAAATAACCATATGTCGATAATCTAGTTACACACACTTGCTAATTCTGTATACATGCCACAACAGCATAACCACGACATTTTACAAGTTAACATAAGCTATGAACGGTGGCAAACTGGATGTCATATGCAATAGAGAAAGAGTGCAACAATTAAAGAAGGCTTACCCAGAACCAAAAGCTGGAGCAGGCTTTGGTGCAGACTTTTCAGCCATCGCAACACTGATTTTGTACCCTCTGAAGTCATGGTCTGATGATCAAAATTTATGATCAGCATGTAAATTATGTACAGCATAAACTCAAATGAATAAATTGGGGTCTAGTCTTTACTATTGAAAAAGCCACCCGCAGAGTGCGCTGCAGAAGGGTCTTCATATGACAAAACAGCATCTCCTTTGTTTTTTCCCTGTTCGTCAGTGTATAACTTTATGCTCCAAGGCCACTGGTCTTTGTAGCCTCGTTTTTGCTTGATTCTTGCCACCTACACATTTATGAGAGACCAATTAAGCGTTAACCCTGATATTTATGCTAACACAGAGTCACAAAAGTAAACTACATAATCAGAATTCAAGGGCAATATTTCATTGGTCAGCAAAATCAAGCAGATCAGAATAATGGTTATTGGGTTTTCTTTTTGTCTACCACAGTGAACACAGCAAGAAATCATGTGAAGTACAAGAAAAACTAGGTATATGCTACAATACGAAATGAATCTGATACTGAGAATCATAACCGAAAGAAATCTGCATATTACTTGTCCAATGCTCCCAAAAAGTTCTCTAAGTTCTTCAATGGTCACATCAGGAGGCAAATTTGAGATATATATTCTTGCGTTGTCACAGAAATCTCCACAGTTCTCATCACATTGCTTGACCTTTTCCGGAGCCTCAGCTGGGGAACTATCATAACCACCTGCATTCCTTTGACCACCGCCATATCCCCCATCATATCCTCCCGGTGGGCCACCCCTTCCACCCCCACGGGCATTAGCTGTTTTATCCCCACCATAGCCACCAGGGGCACCATATGAAGGGGGATAAGATGCAGGTCCACCAACATAACTCGTGGGCGGGGGGACGGCATCAGGGTTCCGACCATAGGTATTAGATGGTGGTGGATAGTTGCTATCAGCTGCCCCATAAGATGGAGGAGCATGTGGAGGACCTTGAGCATAACCACCACCATCTCTTCCCTGACTACCACCATAAGAACCTGTTCTACCACCTCCAGCATTTCTGTCATCATAGTTGTCGCCTCTTCCCCCTCGACTATTTCCATATCCCCCACCACTTCCACCTCTGTTATAACCGCTACCACCTCTGCCACCACGATCGTCAGAACCAGCAGGTGAAGGTGCACCACATTTGTTACATTCAACTCTTCTAGCAAAGTTCAAATTTCCACAGCTACACCCAGACATGCCAGAATTAATAACAATTGACAAGAAACAAGAACAAACACAATAACATATTTCAAATGAAATATTATGAAATGAAACCCAAAATACATAACCTTGAAGCAACCACCGCACTGAACTAACAATTTGTTGAATTGACAAGATATACGCATCATAGAATTATATAATACTGAAAGTAAAGAGAATCAAAACAAATTTTCTCAGTGAACCTGCACAGGGAAGCACCAGTTATCTTGAGCAAAATTGCTGGACCATTCAGTAGCAGGATTTCATACAACAAGTAATGACAGGAGAGAATACATAGTAACTCATATATTTCTAGTCGCATAATCTAGAAAAGACTCAGGTTATAACATGAGAATACAATCAGAACACATGTATATCAAAAAGAAATGGTGTTCAAGAAAAGGATCCAGATTCCTCACTGTGTTGTGAGCTTGGCAAAGCAAATACTTGGTATCTAAAATTTCTACTTCACTAACAGGATTGTCCAGAAAGTAACTTCAGTTTTTGCTCAAAAATATTGCACAAACAAAAGCCACCTCGCTCCATGTAATTGACTTAGTTCACGGATAGAAGCAAATATAATCCTTTTTTTTTGCTGGTATGGAATTAAACAAAAGTTTCACAAGGCCGAGGATTAGTTGTGAATTGAGGGGAGAAATTAGTAAAGATGAGTTAACATGACCTGAATATCCACGAGAAGGACGTGAGAATATTACCTAGGGTTAGGGCAACGCCAATCACCTTCCTTACCACTTCCTCCACCACGACCGCCGCCGCCGCCGCCGCCGCGACCTCCACGATCTCCTCCTCCTTGGTATCCGCCGCCGCCACCTCCTAAAAATAGAGTCATCATATGAATTAAATTATAACTCATTCAACACACAGATATAGTTCGCAAAACATGATAATTTATTCAAATATAAGATACCTCGACTATGTGAACTACCACCGTATCCTCCTCCACCTCCTCTACCACCACCACCACCACCATCTCTACCACCTCCACCGCCGTATGACCCTCCGCTGCCTCCATAACCGCCGCTTGCACCGCCATATCCTCCACCACCTGATCCATACCCGCCGCCTCCAGAACCACCGTAACCACCACCGCCTCCTCCGCCGCCGCTACCTCCGTAGCCTCCGCCACCAGACGGCGGAGCAGATCCGCCGCCTTCGTACCCGTACGTGCCTGCCATCGTTTACACTTAAGCTAGGGTTTCCGAATGAAAGAGGAAAAAGGTAAAAGTGAGTTAAAGACTGGGCGACAAGTGGGAGTCAATCTTATATATGCCTTGTGGAGAGGAGATATTTTTCTTGTGGATCTTTGTCCACGTCTCCAGCTGATCACTTTGATTGCTTTCCTTATTAATTTCTTTACACTTTTTTACGTAGATTCACCAATTAACCAACTAATCAAAATTGAGAAATTGTATTTTGTGAGGCCCTAGATTACTTGATAAGTAGATTTATAAATACCATTTGTTTACTTTAAAGATAAACCTAAAAAAGGCAGTTTAAAAGTCATTTAATATGCCTAATTAAGGATAAAAATAAGTAATATACATAATAATCAAATTGGTAAGAAAATATATGCATTTAAAAAGTTAACAGTTCTTGCCGATGGGCACATGCATTTGAGAAGCTAAAACATATATTTGAGTTGAAAAATTGTGCTAACTTATAAATTCTTTTTTTTTTTTTGGTTAGAATGAAAAGAAAACTTTGTTTTACCCCGTAACAGAGTTTGCAAAACTAACGGATATGAGCGTCTGTTTGGGTTAAAAATAATGAAATTTTACCCCATCAAAACCAAGTTAAAAATAATGAACTCTCTATCTTTCTCTTCAACCGTCGACCCCTTTTCCCTCAAATTTCCTATCATACCCGACCTTCTTTCTCCCAAAATCCCTACAAATCCCACCTCTATAATGTTGAAGATAGGATCACTATTCAACGAGTCATGAAAGGAAATCAAATTTCGATTGAAGAGAAATTGTTTTGAGCCCTAATCGAAGAAGTAAAATGCAAAGTGGAAGTTCATTAACGTTGCCATGAGTATTGATCTAGAGTAGAAGTTTGTAAGTTATTGACATCCAAATGTTGATAGAATAAACGATCAATTGTCCGTAAAATATTGTATTTTATCCATTTCAGATTAAACCAGAGTAAAGGAGGATTGAGAAGTGGGCTCTAAAGGAGGGCCTTTTATGATGAGGAGCATTCATATCTCCCAAAGATGTACTAAATCGCCATTTCAAACTGATTTACAAGGGATTTCGAAATTTATATTGTTAATCAAACTAACAATTGACTCATTACGTTCCTTGCAGTACTTCCTGTATAGGCAGAAACAACAATGTAGTGATGGCTCGGGCTAGAGTGGGTAGATGGACTCAAATGCGTTTTAATGACTAATCAACAACTTTTTACTACTCTTATTTATCTTCCAATGCTTGTTTGTTTTAAAGTTGCCTAGGAAACAAAATTTTTCCTTTAATATGTGACGGATAGGATGATGCTAAATGCTTCACATATATTCCCTCATAACACCCCGATTATAAAAGAAGCATACTACTATAGGATGATTTTCGAGCGCTTCTTCCCACAGGTACTTTGTTTAGATAATATTTTGTATTGTGAGGTTTCATGATAAATGGGCTAATGTACGCTTGTTGTCGATCTTGCAACCTTCCGATAAAATGAGTAAGCTCACATAGTCGGAGTTTTTTGTTCAACTAATAATGCATGAAAATAATAATGCTAAATTTGAGGTTTACTTTTAACCATGTTCCTCTGCCATTTTTGGTTCTGCTGAATTCAGTTGGGCTAACCGTTCCTAGAGAAGCGAGTGTGGCGTGTGCTAAAGCAGTTGAGTGGGATGCTTCTTGGTCAAAGAACCTTGATCCTTCACACAGGAGTGCTATTGGCATACATAACTCGGTTTATGAGAATCATGTACATGCTATGAATAATGAAAATTTGGCCACAAGAATCATTGCATGTGTGCCGTCTTTGGTAAAAGTTGGTGCTGCTCTTGAGCTCACAATAAGGAGTTAGCAGCAGTCCATGACTTCTTGCTCATAAGTAATATTATAACTATTATAATTATTATAAGTTTTAGTCTAATGTCATTGTTTAAGGGAAGATGCAGCTTGTCTTTTAGCCGTTTTGCTGCATTAAAGACCAGATGAGGGTGGTTTTAAGCTGAACAATATTAATAATATTATTTGATTAGTAGGTCTCAGGAGCTCTTCAGTTGCCTCCGTTCCTAGAGGAGCGAGTGTGGCGTGTGCTAAAGTAGTTGAGTGGGATGCTTCTTGGTCAAAGAACCTTGATCCTTCACACAGGGCTGCTATTGGCATACATAACTCGGCTTATGAGAGTCATGTACCTGCTATGGATAATGAAAATTGGCCACAAGAATCATTGCACGTGTGTCGTCTTTGGTAGAAGTTGGTGCTGCTCCTAAGCTCACAATAAGGAGTTAGCAGCAGTCTGTTATCCATGACTTCTTACTCATTAGTAATATTATAATTATCACAATTATTATAAGTTTTAGTCTAATGTCATTGTTAAGGGAAGAGACAGCATGTCTTTTAGCCGTTCTGTTGCATTAAAGACCAGATGAGGGTGGTTTTAAGCTGAACAATATTAATAATATTGTTTGATTAGTAGGCCTCAGAAGCTCTTCAGTTGCCTCCGTTATTGTAATTTTAGTCATTTTCATTTCTCTAGGCCTTTTCCCCCTTCTGTCATGTATCATTTGCCGTTTATATAAGGTGCAGTATAGTTGATTGTCATTTTTATGAATTAAAAAATCAACCTGGACTTTGTATCTAGCTAATCGTCATTTTCAATTTGCTTCATTTAATTTGAGTTTATAGTTCATCTTCCATTGTTGAGGATAAAAGGGACCACTCAATTATGGTTTCGAGATTCTTATCCCAGTTGCTAGTAGATGATCGTATTATCTTGTCCCACCCTTCTCCTCTTTTCTCATAGTCAAGCTGTCACACCAGCAAAAAAACAAAAAACAGTGTAAGGGATTGTGCATCACATCTAAAGTCACTCATATTCATGAAGGATTCTGACTAGTGAATCGCAACAAAAAGCATTTCAAGAAGCAATATGCCATGGATAGGGACACCAGATTCACATATATACCATAAGATCACAATACAATGAAAATTTCTAAAATATTCAGCACGCTTACCATGGGAACAACGATGTCTTCCAAGAACCAGTATTTTTTTTCAGGCATAAGGATTAGGAATAGATTACTTAAGTCCAGCAAAAAGGAAAATAAGTAAATGAATATGAAAAATTCTGCAAAAAGGAGGAATTATGCTTCAGTGCGAACCTAACTATGGACTACAAACTTGAAAAATTCTGCAATACTAAAATTTCTGCTGTATAAAAATTTCTGCACAATAAAATTTCTCCAAATCTAAAAATTTCTACATAATGAAAATTTCTGCAATTTGTAATCAGTTCTAAAATTGCATGATGCATTAAAGTATTGAAACATAATTATAACAATTTGCTCAAAACATGAACTACATATTGTATATGACTAGAAACAACAAAAAATATGACTAAACAACATCCATGCTTCAAAATCTTCGACGATTCCTAAACAGCAGCAAATGTGACTAGAACAATGTCTACGACACAACATCTAAGAATTCCAACAGTAGAATGTCTTCAATAGTAGTGAGAACTAATCTCTTCTACTTCTCCTGTTCTAACCTACAAAATACAGAAATATGGTTTAATGCGTAACATGTAAATGAAACTTATTTGAGTAGTTTTAATAGTTTCATATTCTATTCAGCTTCCCAAAAGAAAAATAGCAACAATCGTGAGTTAAACGCCATCCAAAAATAGCAGCAAAAGTAATTCAGAGAGCATCCAACTTTAACCTCATTTAATTCTCCTCTTCTAACCTACAAAATAGAGAAAACATGGTTTAACTTTTAACTTGTAAATAGAAAAGCGACTTAAAAATTACATCATATTCAAATATTATACCGGCAATTTTTCAGGATGTGATGATGTAGTTGATTGTCAAAAGACTGGTTCATTTAGGTTAGTTTCTCTCTCCACATAGCTAAACTTGCAAGTTCTCTTGTTATGACTAGACTTATGACAAATGCTACATTCAATAATTGTTTGCTTCCTTTTCATCCTTGTTTTGCTCGCTCCAGCTTCACTAAATTTCTTTTTCCTCAATTTTTGCTTTCTTCCTCTCTTTTGTTTCACATTCTTTGGAGGAAAATGAGGAATATTACTAGATTTAGGCCACAATTGTGATCCATTAATTGGAAGAATAGCATATTCATAAATTCTCCTATATGCTTCCACCATGTAGCAGTCATCGACGTAGTTAATTACCTCATCATTTTTAGTCCAAATTGCCGAAATAGCATGCTTACAAGGATATCCCATTATCGTCCACTTCCTACAACTACATATTTTGTTATGTAGGTCCACTGCCTAATTATCATCCATGCTCTCTCCAAGGATTTCATAATTCCACTTATTTGATTTTTTGAGGAATAAACACAGTTGCTGCCGAGTCATTTTTGTGTAGAATATCCTTGATTCTAGGGCAAATATCACCCAAATTTCATTTTTCTCCTTTACCCATGTTAGCTTGTATCCGAGCCATCAATACGTATCTTAATTTCTCCAACAATGTTATAATGGGCTTGTCTCGGGCCTCAAGTATCATGCTATTAAAGGATCCACACATGTTATTCAACAAGATATCACACTTAGCATTTGGATTGAAGTGAGATCTAGACCATTCACTTGGTGGTTTGTCATTTATCCAAGAAACAACATCTACATCTAAATTTAAAAGGTCATACATGCGATCATGAAAGAACTTCACCGTCGTAGACTTTGCAGCAGCCCAAAGTGCATTCCTTAAGGAGAAACCACTAAATCTAGCCCTCCTAATATTGCCATAGAGGTGTCTCACGCAGAATCTATGATTAACGAATGCCAACACATCGTTAAATGCTTCAAGAAGACCTTCAATAAAAAAAAGATCATATTTTTTAGTAAGAGTTTCAAACTAAAATGTTGAAGCAAGCAAAACTTGAATATAAAAGCAACTCAAATCCAATAAACTGAATATAAATGCTTCACGAAGACCTTTTTGCTTATCTGACATGAAGGTTCAACCACCATGATCATCAATCTCCAAATCAATAGACAAGTAGTTCAAAAACCATGACCACGTATCCAGTGTTTCCTTTTCAGCAACTGCATATGCGATTGGGAATATGTTATTATTAGCATCAAGTCCAATTGTTGTTAACAATTGAGTTATATATATCAGGCCCTTTAACCAACAACCATCTACACCAACTATCTTTCTACAACCGGCCTTGAAGCCTTCCTTACAAGCAGCAAAGCATATATAAATTCTCTAAAATATATATGGCTTGTTAGCTATTTTATTTTATGTTAATTTCACATGAATCGAACTACCTGGATTTGTCCTTTCAAGCTCATCGATGTAGTCCCACAACATAGCAAATTGATCTTTAATATCACCATCAAGCAATGCGATGGCCTTTCTTTTAGCCCTTTTAGATTGAGGTAAACTAATATGAGCTTTAAGTTGCCGACTAATTGTATCTCTGAATTTAGAAAATTTCAGATCCCTGTTTGAACTGATGGTATCCAGATATCTGATTGCAATAAAAGAAAATGTGATCGTCTTATTATGATGATACCAATTGTTTCAACTATGCTCAGGGTTGTAATTTTTTATTTGAAATCCCTTGTCCCTGTGCATTCTTGATGTCATAATTTTCCACTCACAAGTCGGATGTATGCACTTACCTCTTATTCTTATCTTGTCATTTTTGCACCACTTGATATACTTTCAGCTTGTATTTCGTGAGTTTTCACAACATATTTAAACTCTTTTTTGTTTCCAAATGTATATTCAAGAGCAAGTATGAGATTCTTCTCATCAGTTTTAGAATTGTACTATCAAAACTCTCATTGTCTGAATCACTATCCAAGCTTAAAGTGTCCGAAGAATTCACGCAATTAGAATCCCCTTCTTCATTTGACAACTTATTTTTAACCTCGACACTAATACGCTCTCTACCACCTTCAACGCGTTGTTTTCCAGTAAATCCCTTATCCATCATTGGATTGAAATCTGATAGTTTATTTTCAGAATCATCAAACTCATCACTACTAGTGACGTTTCGACTAGTTTCTTAGCAATTCCAACAGTTTATTGCATATTTTCAATGTTGATTGTTTGACATTCATTCTCAGATTCTATCTTTGATATTTCAAAGTAATAGTCCAGATGCTCAAAATATATCTCAACTATATTATCTCTGGGAATTGATTCGGCGATTCTGCTAGCTTCAACTTCAGTTGATACTAATCTTAATATGTTACCAAACTTACCACATTTGTGCCAAAATATCACTAAATCATTTACGTAACCATAAATCTCGGCCATCTTCCTCAACTTTGTCATATTAAGATTTGTTGGTTTCACATAGTCAAAGTAGTCGACCACACCTCTAACATAGTGTTTAGTTGGCTGATGCTTCATCAACCCATATATGATATACTTTGATGTTGAAACATGACGCCGCAATTACAGAGTATGTCAAGAATAAAAATCATATTTTTAATAGGATTTCAAACCAAAATAATTTGAAGCAAGCAGAACTGAATATAAAAGCAACTCAAAAAATAAACAAAGAAGTTCTAATTATACTTTTGTAAATGCAAGCAGAAACAAAATTAAAAAGCAACTTATAATCTAATAAGATTTAGTTTTCCTATGTAGAAATAAGATTAAGAAAATATAAAGTACCCAAATTCAACCTACTTTGATACGAATTAACAAACAAAAACAAGAATCAAGGTAAAAACTTATAAAGCAAAGATTCTGAAAACTAATTGATAAAAATAGATTCTTACCATAAGATAGGCTTGCTTCTATTATACCGTTCCTCTTGATATACATGGTTGGTGATGGAGAATAAAGATCGACAATGGAAAAGTTTTGATTTTAGAAGAATGATTCTGGCGCCAAAGTAAAGAGAAGAACGATGTTGGCGCCAAAACAAGAGAAGGAACTAGGGATTTTCTCTTCTCCCCCGTTGTTTTCAGTTTTTAGTTTAACAGCATTTATTTTAACTCTATTTAAGGTTTTTCCGTCAGTTTTTTAAACTTTGTTAAGGGCTAGACTATATTTGTCCACTTTTATAAAGATAAGAGATATTTTACATTTAGTAATATAGACGAGGGACAAAAATACTTTCATAGGCATATTTAAAGGACTACCTAAGTCTTTTCCTCATATTTTACACAATTGATTGAGCAAATAAATATAATTGATAAGTATAACAATGTGCCTTTATTTTTTATTATTTTATATTGGTAATTTTTAGACCAATGTGCGCATCTCGGTTACTATACTGGTCTTCACTGATAACACTTTTTATTTCTATTGAAATTTAAACACTCCAAAATTTATATTTATTTTATTGATCACTAGATTACAATATGTCTTTAGTTTTAAAGATCCATGATTTAAAGAGACATATGGACATGGAAAACCACTAAATCACCACTTTGGATTTTTTTCATATACATACTATATAATAGGTACTTACTCGTTTTCTCTAGGTTTTGTAGTTATCAAAAACAAACTTTCTTTTATAATTTTTTTTATTCCCCTCCCCTTTGTTTGACTTGAACCTACGACCTTGAGATTGTAGGTGAGGAGTGCTCAGAGGCAGATCCACATATATCTTTGTGGGTGCTGGAGCTCCCATTTCTCTATTGGCGGTACATACAGAGATTGTTCGATTATTTGTCAACTTATTTTGGTAAGCACTATTCGATTATTTGTCAACTTCTTTTCGTAAGCACCCATTAACAGAGAAACTTCATGGGTTCTTTGGTTTGTGAGTTTGTAGAAAGTTCGGTTGAACTAAAATGTTCTGAGAATTTTTTTTAATTCCTTAAAACTTATAAGACAACAATGAGAAAGTAAGTTAATAACTTCTGCGCATGGCACATTTCTCTCTAGGCACATGATACTAATGTCCACCTCCAATAGGGGAAGAGAGCTTGCATCCCATATCAGAAGGCGATCATGGTGGCATCATCTTTGCAATACCAACAAACCTAGAAAGCAAACCCATGATTAACAGTAATTCAACCAATTGGCAACCAAATCGACGCGCAAACCAATGCAATTGTAACACAAAAATAACAGAGGGGAAAAGTCAGAGCGTAAAAGCACAACAACAATAGAATGAAATCATGCAGCGCACAAATTACCGTGAGAAGAGCACACCAAGTAGTAATGGACAGAAATCACGGGCTGAAGAAGTCGAAGAGGACTAAAATCAGTACCTAGGGCTTCGATCTGGGACAATTTCGATATCTCGAAAAGCTCAAATTCAGGGTTCAAACTGGAGTATGTGTCTCCTAAAATGTATGGTGAGTTTCCTATTGTGGAACTTGAAGTAGAAGATATTAAATCTGAAGTAGAATACAGGAGCAATATTGTTGTATGCTATATTCTAGGTGCTTACCCTCCATTTGCAATGATTAAAGGGTTCATCCAAAGGCTTTGGGCAAAACATGGATTAAATGAAATTGTTATGCTAAAGAATAGAATAATTCTAGTAAGATTTAACAGTGAAAAGGAAAAAAATGAAGCAGTACAATGTGGCATGTACCTTTTCGACAACAAGCCTTTCATTGTGAAAGCTTGGAGTCCGAATATAGAATTCACTCGTGAAGAGCTGCACATTGTGCCAATTGTCAAATTTTCAGGATTGAATTTCAAATATTGTAATGCAAAGGGATTGAGTAAAATTGGCAGCTTAGTAGGAAAACCTCTCATGGTGACCATAACACTAAGCAAAAGATTTGGCTGAGTTTTGCTAGATTGCTGGTAGAAGTAAATATAGATGTTGCTCTTCTTGAAGTGGTGATGTTCAGGAATGAAAAAGGTAATGTTGTTGAACTAAAAGTCTCTTATGATTGGAAACTCATTCTATGTAAGTTTTGCAATAAGTATGGGCATTCTAAATAGGTGTATAGGAAGAAAAATCCTCCAAAACCTGTCCAAAATGAGAAGGAGAAACAAGGCGAGAAGGAACAGGCAGAAATATCAAAAAATCCAGAAAGACAACCTTCAAATTCAATAGTTGACAAAGATTTAGATGGGGGAGAAGAGCTACTGGTCCAAAGATGAAACAGAAAGAAAGTAGCAGTAATGGAGGGTGGATTACACATTTGAAAACGGAAAAAAATTAGCAAGTCAATGAACATGAAAGGGAACGCATTTCAAGTACTGAACAAGACTGGTATCAGTGAACTTGGTAATAACTTAGCTGGAGAAAATATGGGAGGCTCAACCATTCCTCACTAAGGGAATGGTTAATTGCATAACAGGGAATGTTAGGGGCCTAAATGCCCCTAATAAGCAGAGGGAGGTGAAGCACCTCTACAATGAAGTTATGTCTGCTAGAATACTAAAACAGGATAAGGTCCAAAAAATAATTGAAAAGCAGTTTAATGGCGGGAGATATACCACTAATCTGAACTCTCATTACAATGGTAGGATTATAGTACTTTGGATACCTGACTTCTATAGAGTAACACCTTTAAGTTTGAAGGCACCCATTTTGCTCTGAGGTGTATTGTATCCTTCTACATGTTACATTTGGAGTATCCTTTGTGTATGCCTTTAACACTAAGGAGAAAAGGAGAGGTCCATGGGAGTATCTAGAAGAACATGTAGTAAGCTGCAAAAGGACATGGTTGGTTATAGGTGATTTCAATTCTATTTTAAATATGGAGGATAGAATAGGAGAAAATTCTGTCTCATGGGCTAAAGTAATGGAGTTTAATAATTGTGTAGAAACGCGTGGATTGATTGAACTAACTAATCAAGGGTGTAGATATTGGCGCGCCCTCTTTTTCCCTCTTCGCATCGTAAAATCGGGTTTATGACATTTTTAGGTATGGGACAACTCATTCCTTTTAGGAACTGGGTTTGCATTAGGAGAGTCGCCACCTAATGATTTAAGGTGCATTAGGACACATATAGGGTTTATTTCTAAGTTTGTTTGATAACCAGAGACAGGGTAAGGGCTTGAAATTATCCTAAGGGGAAGGTGTTAGGCACCCCTCAGGATCCACTAGTGTGGTTCCCGACCAGACAGTTTTTGTGAATTTTGTATAATTAGCAGATAGATAAATATAGGCTCAAATAGTAGGGGATTTAAGTTTGAACACATAAGAGTTTGAAAACAATTATTAAAAGGCGAATTTTGAAAAGGAGTTACAACTCTACAAACACTTGAGAATATAAAAGGGAGGAGGGAGTCCTAGGTTTATTTACAATATGGATCACATCAATGCGATACCCGGTATGACACTCCTCAGAATAGGGGATACACGTGGTATTAGCGCGCCGATCATCATATCCATATCTACCCTTCCCACCCCGTTAAGGTATTAAAGCGCGGATTGGTCTCGACCTCTATTGTATGCTATTACCCGTCCTATTCCTATCTGTCCCGGAGGAATTTAGGACTACTATTCTTATAAGAGGGAGGGTTTTAGGCTGACTCTTGGGTTTTAAAGGTAAAAAAAGATAAGGCGACATACAAAACACATAAGACTGCATATTAGGGGAAACATATAAACAAATAAAAGGCTCATATATACCTCCGCAAATAATGCACATAAATGGCATGACTTAAACACAATTAGGGTCGGAATTTAAAGTACTAAGACAGTGTGCTTTAATTGTTGAAGCAGACCATATTTATTACATAACTCAGATATGAAGTCCGAATCAGGCCTGCCTGTTGATTATAGTAGTTGCTAATTAAACAAAGGCGAATCCAGTTTTATTAAGCAATTACCTAAGACTTGCCTAAGTGTGTATTGGTGATGTCCTATAAGCATGATATCTATCACTGATTAAGAATGCAGCAGAGCAGTGGCTAATTTAAACAGGCGATTTGGATCATATAGGCACGCTTTCTAGACCGTATTAATAAAAGGAGTAGGTTGTTTAAACTGATTTAGAATAGTACGAGTCAAACTGATTTTAACTATACTAATTTTAGATCCTATAGGCATGGTATCTAAGTGTTAACGACTGATTTTGATCCTATAAGCATGGAACATGCAGTGAAGTAGGCAGGATGTCTGATTATAGCTATTTAAATCCTATAGACATGGTGTCTAAGTGTGGAATTAAAACATCCAGAATTTATTTAACATATCCTATAGGCATGGTGTCTAAGTGCGGAAGTAAAACATGCAGAACTTGAATTAAAACAAAACAGATCCTATAGGCATGTTCTCTACCCTTCTAATAGCTAAAACATGCATAATTACCCCATCCCTTTTCACTAACCAACCCTAATATTTGTTACAAATTATTACAGACCAAATACTGAATTACATCAAAAAAGTGCAAAAATAAGAAGTTACAACCATAGGAAGCCTAATTCTGACTTCCTCTCTGAGTTATGGAATAAACCACCTCAAATGCCATTTGTTTCAAAGCCTTTCTCAGACCTCGGTATGTTAAAGTTCCCTAAGGGTCTCAAGGGACCCCGGGCAGTGCTTACACCCAGGTTGCATAACCAGACAGAAATGAGTGCAGTGTAGAAGGGCCAGCCCTTATGTGTCCAAGTTCAGAGGGAGCTCAAGGGTCCCAAGGCAAGGCTCACATAAGAAGGGAAAAACCTAAGTTCTAGGAATATAGTGGAAGTGCAGAACATAGAGATTTATTTAAAACTGGACTGGGAAATAATAAGGAGTAAGGGTGCTTTGAAAACAATAGTAGTAAAACTCAAACTACACAGAATCAGCAGTTACACAAAGGGGTCAAGGGTTTTGGGAATACATTGTATAAAGCATATGACCCCAAAAATGGTCAGGTTTGGTCATGCACAGCAATAGATGATGCTGGCATGCCCACAAGCCAGCCAGAGAACACAAACACTGTGACGACCCAAAGGGTCACCACCGTAGTTCTTCCTTGTTCCGCGCTTCTGAGGCCTTGAAAACCTCGCTTTTAGTTGCCTTGTTTTGTGTGCG